TGGGGCTCTGGGCCAGCGCTGTCATGCTCCTCCGTGTAGTGCCGGCACCCAGTGGTCTTGGGGCAGGTGGGTGATTTGGGGGACAGTGCGCAGCGTGCAGGAAGCTGGTGGGTGAAAGAATGATCCCGGGTGGGGCGGTGGTGGGCCGACCCATCCCCTGTGGGTCAGCCACCCTCTTGGGGGCAGGAGCCTCATCACACAGGCCCCAAACCAAGTCTGTCAGGAAAGTGAGCTTTCTGGGCGTAGCTGCTCCGGCTGGTTCTTTCCTAAAACGAGCTCCCTCCAGCAAGCCACGCTCCTGGCTTACTTCTACAAGTGCTTGCCCCCCCTGAGACATTTCGGAGCTTTGCACCTTGGTGTCTTGGGGGGGTTTCTAGGCTCAGTGTGTACACAGCAGGGTGAGCTCGTGGGATATGGGGTTTTCGGGCCCTCCCGGCAGGGGTGTGTGTGTGTGTATGTGTGTGTGTGTAGTGGCAGTAGCTCAGGGACCACCTGAGGACCCCACAGACTGCTCCTCGGGTGCAGACCACTTACCCCCTGACTCGGGGAAGGGCAAGAGGCATTTGAGGTACTACTTTCAAAGAACCCCAAAGCCAAAGCTCCTCAAAAATTCTATCAAGAGAAGAAGCCTCAGTAGAGAATCCCAATCAACCATGACCCTGAGTGAGCACCTCAAGGTACGCAAAGAACCCCAGCCTTCACGGCACAGGCACCCGGAGGTCGCGGCCAGGGGTAGAGATGTTCATCCTGAGCCATCGGGTTTTTTGCTTGGGGGACATTTTTGTGTGTGGAGAGCAGCTCATGACACACTGGCAAACTCGTCACTTAGGGCAGAGCCCAGTTCACAGGCTGGACGGGCCATCCTGACAGACCCCTGACCGTCCCCACTTACCCCTCCCAGGCGTGCCAGGCTTAACCACTGGAGACTGTCCTGGTGTGAGGCAGCTCTGATGGGTCAAGATTCCATCCAGCCCAGATGACCCAAGAGCCACCTTTCTAAAGCTCTGTTGCCCCAGAGCTGGGCTCTTGCTCCTCCACTGTCCAGTGTTGCTTCTGGGCATCCACACGGTGAGCAGCGCCAACCCGGGCAGCGCCTTCCCCAGGACAGCAAGGGCCTGACGCCAGGACAGACGCTTTAGCAGATGGGCACCAGGCCCTGAACCCCAGGCCTGTTCACATCGCAGAGCACACGCCGTCTAAAAACCAGGATGCCCGTGGAAGCATTAGGAGCCTCCTTCCAGTAAACGGAGGGCTGGTAAGGCTGTGAAGTCTTGAAGGAGGCGTTTGCTATGCCGCACCTTGGTCTGGAAAACCACTTCTGGGGTCAGTGTGAACGCCAGTGCCTCAGGCTGAATGAGGCTGCTCTGTCGGGGTCAGGAGCGGCCACATCTCAGTGCTTTGGGACAAAGGCGTGTTCTCCACAGGTGTCATGCGGGAATTCCCATCCCCGTGTGGCATAGCTCCTCTTTCTGTTTGACCTTAGTTGTTTTTGCAGCTGTTGGCACACACATACACGTACACACACGCACACGCACACATGCACAGCAAAGCATGTACCCACTCAAGAACTGCTACAGGTTCAATTCAGTGACCTTGACTTCATTCTTTGAGTGGCGCAATTACCCCCCCCCCCTTTTTCTGTGCTGTTCCAGCCCCCTCCCCCAATAAACTCACTCCCCGGAGGGTCCTCTCTCCTCTTTTGAGTTCTTGCTGTCGCTTTGATCCACACACGCAGCTCTTTGAAAACAGAATGCTCAAGGCAGACGATGTTCACTTTGGTGGTAAGGAGAGTGTGGGGGCTACGGTTGGTTTGAGGTTCAAAGGGTATTGGGGAGCCAGCGTTTCTGGGCTTTGTCCAGCTCTTGGGCTCCCGGAAGCCTGACACCTGTGAGAATTTGCAGCATTCTGTTCTGCATCTTCTCCCTGTCGAATCTCTCATCAAACTGCAGTTACGGCAGCCGGGCACCATCCAGTTTCTCAGGTCTCATGGCAAAGGAGACGGTCTTCCTCCTAGTCTGGACGTATTGGTTACAAGTTAGGCTGCTAACTACAAGGTCAGCCGTTCGAGACCACCCGCTGCCTAGCGGGAGAAAGCCTTTTTATTCCTGTAAAGCGTGACAGTGTTGGAAACCCACACGGGCAGAGTGCCCTGCCTGATCCTGTGCCACCCTCACAGTTGTGCTCATTTTGAGCCGGTCGGTGCAGCCGCTGTGCCCTTGCATCTTGCTAAGGGCCTTCCTTCCTCTGTGGCTCTGCTTTGGCTGGCGTGATGCCCTTCTCCTGGAGGGGTCCCTCCTGAGAGATCCGTCTCCCTTATGGACTTGTCCCTTGTAGGCTGATCATTGAGTCCCTGGGGAATTCAGTTCCAGGTTTGACGGGGTGGCCAAGGGTATTAGCCTTGGGGGTGAAGACTGGTTTTGTTGGGATTTTACGACCCTCGCTGGCAGAATGGAGAGGCTGGTGGAGTCCACCACAACACCGTCACACAACGGAATGGCTGCTCCTAGTAGGATGGGGCTGTGCGTGGGTGACACGGGCCCTCCGCTCCAGTCTCACTTCTCCTGGTGGTGTTCGGAAGGACCCAGAGCACTCCCACAACGTGGTTCCCCTTCCTGGCCCTCTCCCTAGGACAATGCTATTGTGCTAGGGGACCCCATGAGGTGGCCAACTGGCCCCCCTGCCCCATTGGGTGTCGTGTCCCAGCTGCATGTGGAGGCCCGTTCCTGACCTGCATAGCCCATCCCCACACTCAGGCCAGCTCATGCCCACTGGTCATCGCCCTGTGGCAGCATTTGTAGTAAAACTCCTTTCTTCCTCTTCAGTCCTTCCAGGGAAGCCAGGGACGTGCCTACCTCTTCAATTCCGTGTGAGTACCCCGGGCGAGCCCTGTGGATACGCTGCGTGTGTGCTGGCAGATGCACGCACCGCCTCTGTTTGCCCACCTCGCTGTTGGGTGACCTGAGTGAAGCCAGACTGTGCAGGCAGACCCCACCAGTGATCTTGAGAGGGTCCCGGGTCCCCTCGTCTCGAGGGACAGCACCCACTGTCTTCCCTGAATATTTACTCTTCCACGGATGTGGTGGTTTTATTGTTGCCTGCATGTGACAGGCTTTGGTGTTTCGTGGGCTTGACAGTGAATTCCCTGGTGGCGCAGTGGGCTAAGCGATGGGCTGCTACCCTAAAGGTCAGTGGTTCCAACCCACCAGCCGCTCCCACTCCTCGAGAGAGGGATGAAGCTGTTTGCTCCGGTGAAGACTGATTGACAGCCTCAGGAACCCTAGGAGGGAGGTCTGCTCCCCTCCTGGTTTGCTCTAAGTTGGAAGACAACGGTTGGGTGGTGCAGCGGGTGAAGCGCTGGGCTGCAAACAGAATGGTTGGTGGTTTGAACCCACCCAAGGCTCCTTGGGGAAAAGAGGAGACTGTCTGGTCCTGTAAAAAACGGGCAGCCCCAGACACCCCAGGGCTCCATTTTATTTGGTATTCATTTCAACCCAACCCACTGTCAGTGAGTTCATTCTGACTCACAGCTTCCCAGATGGACAGGGTGGAACAAGTCTGTAACTACCCACTGCAGTAGAAAGCCCGTCTCTCCTTCTGTTTAACACCAGCAGGTGGCCGGGAGTCGTGAGTGACTGGCTGGATGCCGGTTGTTCAGTTCCATCAGGCGCACACACACGGGGTGGGGTGGGTGTGTCGTGGCTCTGGCACTCAGCTAAGGGTGGGGTAAGGGTGAACGGATGGATCCTCAGGAGCCCCCAGAAGCAGTTCTACTCTGTCCTGCAGGGCCACTTGGAATCAAGAGTGGACTGGATGGCTTTGAACTTGGGGGTTGTGCTCAGGACAATGGTGGCCATCTCCTCACAGCTTGTCCTGGGGTTCCTCAGGAGGAAAATCAGGACAACTTGATCTCACATGAGGTGGGCTGGGGCAGCGGATAGAGTAGTCAGGGAGTTTAGAAGCAACACAGCCAGTCTCTGGAAAATTCTGATTTCTGGCAACAAGGAGGAGCCCTGGTGGCATAGCGATTATGCGTTGAGCTGTCAACTGCAAGGTCTTTGAGGTCAGCTGCACGGGGAAAGAGGAGGCTTTCCACTCCCATCGGAGAGCCACGGTCTTGGCTCCCCACGCGGCAGTCCGACCCTGTCCTCCTGGGGGCGCTGTGAGTGGCCGGGACTCGATGGCCGTGAGCTGGGTTTTGGATTGGTTGGCAGCGGGCGGGAGTGCTTGGTCCCCAGAGCTGGCGCGCACCTCCTCTCCCCTGCAGGGTGAACGTGGGCTGCGGCCCTGCTGAGGAGCGTGTTCTGCTCACCGGCTTGCACGCGGTCTCGGACATTTACTGTGAAAACTGCAAAACCACCCTGGGCTGGAAATACGTGAGTGCCCGTCTGGCGGTAACCCCTCTGGTGCAGGGCAGTCAACCCTCACTTCCCCGCCCACGGGACTGTCAGTAAGAATGGCACATGCCTGCCTGCCCAGGGGGCATCCCCGCCCCCCACGCCCAGGGTGCCCCCCTTCAGAACAGGGACCACCGGACGCTCCATCCCAGAGAGGACCAGGAACACACAGTTGATAGAAGCACACGTTCCATCTTTTCTTGAATCTGTCTCCTTGGGGTGCCCCCCCCCCAGGGTAGGGCACGGAGCGGTAAAACTGATTCCACCTGAGACCGTGTCTCCCTCTCTTTCTCCCATCCCTCCCCACCCTTTCAAGGAACATGCCTTTGAGAGCAGTCAGAAATATAAGGAAGGAAAATTTATCATTGAGCTCGCGCACATGATCAAGGACAACGGCTGGGAGTAGCATGAGCCCGCGGGTGCCGCCTGCCCGGCGCCGAGTGACCGGTGGCGAAGAAAGACCACTTCCTGGGCGCCCTCCTTTGCCGACGCTGCGGGGTGCTCCCCGCGCCCGCGGCGCCCCCGCCCCTGGCGGCCGGGGCAGGCCCGCCCTTCAGGCTGGTCTCTTCAGGGTCCGTGTGGTGGCGGAGGTTGTCCGGGAGCTTTTTATTTCTCACTTCTCAAGTTTGAGCGAAAGAATTAACCCACGTTACGACTCACCTGTCTAGTTCGTGTCTTCCCGCCCCTCGCGCGGGGTGGTCCACGGGACTGCCGTGGCCGTGTCTGTGGCCGTGGCCCTGTCTGTCCAGTCCCGCCCCGCCTCTGAAGAAAGTGGGCAGGGGGCGTGGCCTGGCTCGAGGGC